TGCTTCAAAAGACACTTTCAAGAAAGTAAAAAGACAACCCATCAAATGTGAGACAATATTTGCAAATAATATATCTGATAAGGGACTTGTACACAAAATATATAATGAACTACAACTCAACAACCACTGCCACCACCACCATCACCACAAAACAACCTAAGTTTAAAATAGGCAAAGAAAACAAATGGGGCAAAGGGTCTGAATAGATATTTCTCCATGAAAGATACACAAATAGCCAGTAAGCACATGAAAAAAATGCCCAACATCCTTGATCATCAGGAAAATGCAAATCAAAGCCCCAATGAGCCCTATTAATGGATTGGAAGGCAGTATTATTAAGATGTCAATGCTACGCAAGGCTATCTATAGGTTCAATTCAATATCTATCAAAATCCCAATGGCATTTTTTGCAGAAATGGAAAAGGCTGTCTAAAACTTAGATGGAATCATAAGGGACACCAAATAGCCAGAGTAATCTTGGGGAAAAAAATTAAAAGAACAAAGTTGGAGGTCTTGCATTTTTGGATTTCAAAACTACAAAGCTATGGTAATTAAAACAGTGTGGTACTGGCATGAAGACAGAGCTATAGACCAAGCAATGGAATAGAGAGCCCAGAAATAAACTCACATATGTGATCAAATAATTGTCAACATGAAATAACAATGTTTTCAACAAATGATGTTGGGAAAATGGATAGCTACATGCAAAAAAACTAGAAGTTGGACCCTAACTTACACTATATAAAAAAGTGAACTCAAAATGGATCTACGACCTAAATGTAAGAGCTAAAACTATAAAATTCTTAGAAGAAAATATAGGGGAATAGCTTCATGACATTAAATTTAGCAATTATTTCTTAGATATGACACCAAGAGCAAAGACAACAAAAAGATAAATTGGACTTCATCAAAATTTAAAACTTTTGTACATTGAAGGACATGATCAACAGTGAAATGACAACCATTGGATGGGAGAAAATATTTGCAAATCATATGTCTGATAATGGACTGATATCCAGTATATATAAAGAACCCCTACAACTCAAAAACAACAAAAACAAGCAATCCAATTTTACTTATTTTAGAATTTATTGTCAAGTTAGCTAAGATTCAGTGTATACAGTGTGCTCTTGGTTTGGTGCATGTTATTCATCACTTACATAAAATACCCAGTGCTCATCTCAACAAGTGCCTTCCTCAATGCCCATCATCCATTTTCCCCTCCCCCATCCCCCTCATCAACCCTCAGTTTGTTCTCTGTATTTAAGAGTCTCTTATGGTTTGCCTCCCTCTCTGTTTGAAACTTTTTTTCCCCTTCCCTTCCCCCATGGTCTTCTGTTAAGTTTCTCGAGTTCCACATGAGTGAAAACATGATATCTGTCTTTCTCTGACTTATTTCACTTAGCATGATACCTTCCAGTTCCATCCACATTGATGTAAATGGCAGGATTTCATTCTTTCTCATTCCCAAGTAGTATTCCATTGTATACATAAACCACATCTTCTTTGTCATCAGTTGATGGACATTCGGGCTCTTTCCATAATTTGGCTATTGTTGAAAGCACAAGCAATCCAATTTTAAGATGGGCTAGGAACTTGAATAGGCATTTCTCCAAAGATAAACAAATGGCCAATAAGTTCATGAAAAGGTGTTCAACATCACTAATCATTAGGGAAATGCAAATGAAAACCATGAGATAGCTCTTCATATCCATTAGGATGGCTATTAAAAACAATAGGGGTGCCAGGGTGGCTCAGTTGTTTAAGTGTCCAACTTTGGCTCAGGTCACGGTCTTGCGGTTTTTGAGTTTGAGCTCTGCGCTATTGATAGCTCAGAGCCTGGAGCCTGCTGAGGACTCTGTGTGTGTGTCTCTCTCTTCCCCACCCCTGCTCATGCTCTGTCTCTCAAAAATAAACATTAAAAAAATAAAAAAAAATAAAAACAACAACGAAACCCAGAAAATAACAAGTGCTGACAAAGATGTGGAGAAACTGTAACACTTGTGTATATTGCTGGTGGGAACGTACAGTGGAATAGCTCTATGGAAAACAGTATGGCAGTTCCTAAAAAAATTAAACGTATAGAACTACCATATGATCCAGAATTCCATTTTGGGGTATATACCTGGAAGAAATAAAAGCAGACTCTAAACAATTATCTGTACGCTCATGTTTATAACAGCAATATGTTGGTGTAGGGAGAGGTGGGTGATGAATGCGGAATCAGTGCTCAATGTATACAGAGTTTCAGTTGAGATGAAAAAGTCCTGAAGATGGGTGGTGGTGATGGTTGAACAACAATGTGAATATACTTGATTCAACAAAAGTACGTATTTAAAAATGGTTAAAATGCTAAATTTTATGTATACATTACTACAAAAAGTGGGGAAGTGAACCATCCTGGAAGAAAGTTATTATCATTTCTACTTGATATATAAGAAATGAGGATTTGTGAGACAATTTTAAAGGTTGAAGACATTCAAATTCCAAGTTTCAGAAGCCACATCTAAAAATATAGTAAAGTAAACCCACCCAAAAGAAAAACCACAATGAAATGTCCACATCACACTCATAAGGATGGCTATAATCAAAAAGTCAGCTGAACTGTGCAGTTTTTCACAGGCACCAGGTCCTTCTGAAGTTAAAAATGAGTACTGTACCTTATCCATGTGAAATACTACACAATCAATCACATGGAATTAGGAGTGAATGACCCAAATTTTCTTTCCAGAGGAGTTAATTCTAGGTAGAACTCTGACCAGGGCCTAAGGTATAAATAAAAACATTAAACTTGGATGCAGTACTCCTGCTGATATTGGAGTTTTGATCCCAAACTACATTGTAGAGCTCCAAAGAATCTAAGTTATTTCCTTCTTTCTGTTTGTCCTCACAAAATATTACAAAGGGGGTAGAAAAGCAAAATTTCACATTTAAAATTACCCTTAAATGATCAAAACGCATAGAATAGTAATTACTGAAATTGAGGGAATTTATTTTTAAAATAAATAAAGGGGGGGATACAAAGAACTTTCTAGAGAGAACCGCAGATGAGCTTTCCGCCTCACTCCTATCTGCACGCATGTGTCTCCTTTTGGAAACAGCCTGTATTCTGTCTCTGCTGAATCGTTAATAATCACTGGGTGCCCCCAGAGGCTTGGGGTGTTTGTAACACCACATGAGATAACTGAGAAAGCCCATTAGAAACCATAGAGTGGTGATGATTTTTTTTTTTAACGTTTATTCATTTTTGAGAGACAGAGAGAGACAGAGTATGAGCAGGGAAGGGGCAGAGAGAGAGGGAGACACAGAATCTGAAGCAGGCTCCAGGCTCTGAGTTGTCAGCACAGAGCCCGATGTGGGGCTTGAACTCACAAACTGTGAGATCATGACCTGAGCCGAAGTCGGACGCTCAACCGACTGAGCCATCCAGGCGCCCCTGATGATTTTTTTTTAACACTTGGAATAAGGTGAACAGGGAAAGAGCACTGAATCCTTGGCTGTGCTTTAAGAATGGCTTACCTTCTTGACCTCCTCTTATGATTAGACTTTAGCTGAAGGCCAAGGCAGCAAGCTAAATAGGCAGTGAACTCCCCATCTAGGCTTTAGCCAGGATGTAACTTGTTCTTAGGATTTTACAGTTCTTTGGGTACTGAATTATATCTGAGCACAAGCTAATGACTGAACCCTGACAGCAAGGTCCTGTTTGGCATCTGGCACTGGCATTACAAGGCATCAGAGAGAACTTAAGAGAGGCACAGTGGAGGAAATGGCTCCCAGGGTGGGAGCTTGAACTCACAACCTTGAGATCAAAGAACCACATGTCCTACCAACTGAGCCAACCAAATGCCCCTCTCTTTTTAAAAATCAGTTGGTCTGAGGCCACACAATGAATCAGAGGCAGAGCTGGGATTAGAACTTGGGTCTTCTGCCTTAGCACAGTGTCCCTTCCCCAACACCATGTTGTTTATTTTAGCTCTACTGTCAATATTTCAAAACAAATTTGTTTAAACTGATAGTTTGCTCCAACACAAAGTCCAAAAGCTAAGAAAACCCCCAAACAAGAATTGCATCATGAACAGGGTAATACCAAACCAACAACTCCACACAATAACCACCTACATCAAGTGAAAAGAGTCATAAAGGATACATAGCCTTGTCAGAGAGGTGGGGTTCTTTTTCCTCAGCTTTACTGAGATAGAATTCACATACCATAAGATTTTTCATTTTATACAATTTAGTGTTACTTAGTATATTCAGTTATATGACCATTACTATATAATTTCAAAACATTTTCATCACCCCAAAAAGAAACTCTGTACCCAATAGCAAGTGTTCCCCATTCTTCATCCCGAACCCCGCCAGCTCCTGGCAACCACTAATCTACTTTCTATTTGTATGCATGTGTCTGCTCTGGACATTTCATATAAATGGAAGCATACAACATGTGGTCTTTTGTGACCAGCTTCTTTCAATTAAAATGTTTCCAAGGTTCATCCATGTTGGAACATATATCAGTAAATACTTCATTCCTTTTTATGGCTGAATAATATCTTATTGTATGGTATCATCTTCTTCTTTTTTAAGGTTGCTTTATTTATTTTTGAAAGAGAGTGGTAGAAAGCGACCAGAGGAAGGGCAGAGAGGGAGAGAGAGAGAATCCCAAGCAGCCTCCGTGCTGTCAGCACAGAGCCCGCTGCAGGGCCCAAACTCACAAAGTGAAATCATGACCTGAGCCGAAATCAAGAGTCAGACACTTAATTGACTGAGCCACCCAGGTGTCCTGGTAACATCTTTATCCATTCACCAGTGGATGAACATTTGGGTTATTTCCATCTTTTGTCTATTATGAGCATTGCTATGAATGTTCATGTACAATATTTTTTGTAGACATATTTTCAATTGTCTTGGGTAATTGTCTTGAGTGGAATTGCTGGGTCATAGGAACTGCCAGACTGTTCTGCAGGCAGCTGCACCACATTACACTTCTACCAGCAACGTACGAGTGTTCTAATTCTCCACATCCTTGTCGACACTTGTTATTGTCCATCCTCTCGATCACAGCCATTCTAGTTGGTTGTGGCAGAGTCTTCATAACAAAAAGTGACAGTTAAAATCTTCTAGGCAAGCACATTCTCTGATCAAGCACATGACCCACTGAGCCCCACAGGTGGTAGAACAGGACATAATACTGATTGTACTACCCTATCCTACTGCTGTGGTGCCCTCCCTAACAATTAAGGGCAGTGGTTCTCAAAATGTAGTCCCAAGACCAGCAGCACCAGCATCATCTGGGAACCAGTTAGAAATGCAGAGTCTCAGACTCTGCCCCAGACCTACTGAGTCAGAGACTCTAGGGTGAGACACAGCTTCCTGTGAGTCTAGTGATCCTGACACCTGCTCAAGTTCAAGGGAAAGCAGCATCTGCTGCAGGGCATCTTTGTCCCTCAATGTCAGCTTTAACCATCTTATTAGTGATGATTAATACACACCAAATCCATTATCCCCTACAAAGGAAGATGACAGTGACGAAGAAAGAACTTTCTAAAGGATTCCATCATGCAACTCAAGTGGAAGGATTTGATACTTTCCAGTAATGAGTGACACTGTTGATGTAAACTGTTCACAATAATTTATTTTGGACACAGAAAACCTAGCTGGAAGGTAAATAGGAATTTCACAAACACCATCCAAGGCAGTAACATAAATACAATTTCCCTCATACCTGCTGTTCTAAATATTCCTTGCCCATTCAAAATTTCAAAGAGCAAGCTATCATAGTTCTCCTTTAGATTTTTGGAAAGAGGATGGCACAAGAGCTTCACATTCATTAAACATTTAAACAATCATTTAAAACAGTAAAGATGGCCTCATCAACACCATGTGATGTTGACAGGCCACAAATACTCCCATGACCCTGGTAATGTTGACTATTATCTAAAAAAATGAGGAAAAAAACTTCTTTGGAAAACCACTGTACATTTCTTTCATATCCTGCCATTTACGGATCTTTTCTTTATATGTTTCTTACAAGTTTACAAATTCAGTAATTAGGGCAGGTGAAGCCCCTATGTAGTGACATTTTTGTTACCTCCTTCAGATATGGCTAGATCCACTGCTTCTCAAGTTCAGCAGGAGTAATCAGTGTGAGAAGGTGAGGCATCTGCCCAGGTCCCACCAGGGGATAAGCAACGCTCACACGTGCATGTGGATGTGGATACAGAGGAAGAACCACACACTGAACAGCAAAAAACTCACCATTAGAGTAAGAATTGCTATAATGATTCCATTTATTCTTTGAAACCCATTCTTCACTGACTGAATGGTTTTCATAGCATTTCTCTTGTCTGGGACATCACAGTTTCTCTGAGCAGATTCAAAACCTTCTCATAAGTGTCTAGAATTTCCTGAGCAGTGGGTCTTTCTGCAGGAGTCTGGCTCTTACATGCCTTATGAATATCAAACAAATGAAATCGGACCATATCACTTCCTTCAACGTGCCCCAAAAGGAAACTAGAGACATCTGGAATCTTCCAGATGTCGATCTTCTCATCATATGACGGCATGAGATCATCGTCAAAAGGCATGTCTTCTCCATAGGGCCACAGCTGCTCTGGAGCCACAAAGTCCCCGTGAAGCTCCCTGTGGCCACACTTCACAAACGTCCTTGAGCTGTGGTTCACCAGGGGCAAGGCGTCCAGGTCGTTTACCACAATGCTGAAGTTGCTCGTCAGCAGATACTGGGACAAGGTCTTGGGCAGGTCACTGGAATCGCACATGACCAGGGTACCCAGGGGGCTGTGGTGCAGGTAGTGGATGATGGCCACGTAATTCATGGCCAGCTGCAGCCTGTGCTGCCACGTGTTCACACTGTGGTACTTGGAAAGGTTGAGCGTTTCTTCCAGATTGCTCAAGGAACCTAAGGGGTGATATTCGGTAAGAATAGTGTTGTCCTCCTCACAGTATCCAAGCAAGGTGACAACATGTTTACTCTGCAGGGTTTTCAGCATCCGCAGCCCATGCAGGAAGTCATCTTTCATCTCCAGACTGGTGAGCCGTGACAGCGCGACTTTGCGTTCCTTCCACTCAGACAGAAAGACCTGAAACCAAGCCAGAGACAATCAAACCTGAAACCGTCACCTGTGTTAGTGAGCAGGAAACCAACCCCACAGGTGCAGAGAAGGTAGAAACTAGGCAGACAAACCCAGTCCTAGAGTGGCTCTCAGCCTGGTCACAAAGACTCACTGCTAAGCAAACACAGGCACCCAGTACAGAAGGCCTAGGGCAGGCCCAGGAGGGACTGTGCTTAGGATGCTGAGGGCCATCTGGAGAGGGTATTGGAAGGTTCCTGGGAGTTGGGCTGAAGGATGACTGGGGCTTGCAGGGTGGATGTGGAGAATGGGAAGTGCACTCCCAGAAGAGGGGGCTGCTGTATAAAGGCACGGAGTGGCAAAATGACCAGGTCCAAATTCCTGCAGCAGAAAGGGCTGAGGATGGGGAGGACCAGGGGAGAAGACTGGAAAAGTGGGGAGTCCACCTGGCCAGCACCTCACGCATCACAATATTACTTGTTCATTTTTCAAGGTAGTATAGAAAACCACAGAAACAGTTTTAGGTAAGGAAAACAATTTTACATGGCGTGTGGTTTTGTGTTACTTCAACTTAACAGCAGAAGCTGAAACACACGCAGACACTAGAGCTGCCCATCCTGGTGTGGCCAGCAGGGGAACAACTGCACAGGAAGCCTCGGTTCTCCATTTTATTAGCCAGGAAAGGCTTGTGGGAAGTACTGTCATTAAGAACCTCTGATCTTCTGCTTAAATCCCCAAAGGGAAGGCAGAAGCCTGCACAAGAGAAAACGGGCTCAGAAGTGGGGAGATGGCTGCCCCAGGCTGCTTCTGCTGCTAGCGGGCTGTTTCTCTGTGCTTCTACTTACTCTTTAAAACAAAGCTTACGGTTTTCGAAACCAATCTGGAGCATGATTTATCAAGTGCCTTTAACATCAAATCTAAAATCTATCTAAGGAAGTAATCTGAGATAGAACAAATCTCTAGGAATAAAAATCTGGCACTACTTATAAAAGCGTAAACTGGCACTTATCAGTCCATCAAAAAATGGGGAGTAGTTCAGTAATGGTAGACCACGCAAAAGAAGACGATGGGGTCAGCAAAATGCACATATTGAGAGAGTTTTCACAGATAAAAGTAATGTCACAAATGAAAAAGGATACAAAATTTCATTTATGTTGTTCTAACTGCATAGAACAAGTCAAAATTACATGGAAATCAAAGGAAATAGGCTGTTTCAGTTCTCTTCACATGCTAAGATCCTGGGCGATTTTTTCCTTTATGAGTCACAGTATTTTCCAACTTTTCTAGAATGAATATACATGACTTTCATATTTAACAACATTTTTAAAGAGAATCAAAAATATATCAAATGGAGGTGAGTTAGAGACCTGTGAAGATTTCTTTGGGATCTGAAAAGAGAGGTTCATTAATGGAAAAACCCAGGTACCGACAGTTGACCCTTAATATTTACAGAGAAATCTTTCAGGGCGCCTGGGTGGCTCAGTCAGTTAAGCGCCCTACTATTGATTTCAGCACAGGTAATGATCTCACGGTTTGAGAGTTCAAGCCCGCATCGGGCTCTGCACTGACGGCACAGAACGTACCTGGGATTCTCTCTCTCTCAAAATAAATAAAACTTAAAAAATAAATAAATAAAAAGAAATCTTTCAAGACCTTTTCAAAAACTCAAAATTGAGAAATTTCACTATGGATCATAATTTTTATTATTTCTTCTTCTTCTTATTATTATTTTTAACATTTATTCATCTCTGAGAGACAGAGAGAGAACAGAGAGTGTGGGGGAAGGGAAGAGGGGGAGGGAGACACAGAATCCAAAGCAGGCTCCAGGCTCCAAGCTGTCAGCACAGAGCCCAACACAGGGCTCGAACTCAACAGACCACGAGATCATGACCTGAGCTGAAGTTGGATGCTTAACCGACTGAGTTACCCAGATGCCCCCATAGTTTTTTTTTTTTTTAATGTTCATTTATTTCTGGGAAAGAAAGACAGTGTTGAGTGGGGAAGAAGCAGAGAAAGAGGGGTACAGAAGATCCGAAGTGGGCTCTATGCTGACAGCAGAGAGCCTGATGCCAGGCTGGAACCTGCAAACTACAAGATCATGCCCTGAGCCACAGCTGGACACTTAACCGACTGAGGCACCCAGGTGCCCCTGGATCATAATTTCTATTAAAAAGCCATTTTACTTGTATACCGAAAACTAGTATAACACTGTATGTTAACTATATTTGAATTTTTCAAAAGCCATTTTGCTCTGGCTGCTAAATTCACTAAAAGTTTCATGAATACATATATTTATTCATATATATATTTTATTCGTATATATATTTTTTGACATGGAACACGTTCTCTCCATAGACCTGCATCAACACTGAACTCGACATCTGACTCCAATATAAAAATCTTATTTTTTGTTGAGGGCCTTCAGTTCCTTAGACCTATCTCCTCATGGTGACCACCAACTCCAGCAGACGCCTTGGTATCCTAGGCTCATTTTTCACATAAAAACAGTGATCACTTTAGGGAAGCTGCTACAATTTATTCATACATTATTCAATAATAAATGGTAGGGTGCTTGGGTGGCTCAGTCAGTTGAGTGTCCAACTTCAGCTCAGGTCATGATCTCACGGTTCATGAGTTTGAGCCCTACAATGCGCTCTGTGCTGACAGTTCAGAGCCTGGAGCCTGCTTTGGATTCTGTGTCTCCCTCTCTCTCTGCCCCTACCCTGCTCATGCTCTCTTTCTCTCTCAAAAATAAACATTAAATAAGTAAATAAATAAATGTTGGAAGAAGCTCAACCACAGGCCTTATGACTTCCTCCTAAACCCTTGTTTACATTGAATTTTTGTGCCTCAGATAAATGAAAGTCTTTGGAATCACTCACAAATATCTGAAACCTTCCAAGTTAAATATCCGCAGGTCAGGGATTGTTTAAGAATCATTTCTTAGCAGGGTGCCTGGGTGGCTCACTCGGTTGACTGCCGACTTCGGCCTAGGTCATAATCTTGCAGTTCATGGGTTGGAGCCCTGTGTCAGACTCTGTGCTGACAGCTTGGAGCCTGGAGCCTGCTTCAGATTCTGCGTCTCCCTCTCTTTCTCTCTGCCTGTTCCCCCCTTTGTGCTGTTTCTCTCTCTCAAAAATAAATAAACACTAAAAAAATTTTATATAAAAAAAATCATTTCTTAGCAATATCTAATTGAGTTGCTTTATTACACTTTCTAAAATTCTCTTATTTAGAGAGAGCAGTTTTACCTTTTTTTTAAATTATAAAATTAATCAAGAATACTCTTCTTGGTAAAAATTCAAAAACAGAAGGAGATTTCCTTCCCCTACTTTTACTCACCCAAAGGAAACTTGTTAACTGGTTGGTTGGTAACCTCACAGCCATTTCTTTATGTGTGTATATGTGTTAATGCATACTTTATAAATAGCATTTGAGTTTACAGTGACATAAGAGTATAACATACATGTCATATTGCAACTTGTTTTTTTTCACATAACTAATACCTTACACTTTCCTGTATATATATTCTTTCTAAAGGTCATTTTTTTTTTAATGTTTACTTCTGAGAGAGAGAGAGGGACAGAGCATGAGAAGGAGAGGGACAGAGAAAAGAGAGAGACACAGATGATGAAGTAGGCTCCAGACTCTGAGCTGTTAGCACAGAGCCCAACATGGGGCTCAAACTCACAAACCATGAGATCATGACCTGAACCAAAGTCAGACACTTATCTGACAGAGCCACCCAGGTTCCCCTAAAGGTCATTCTTTTTAAAGCTGCACAATATTTCACAGTATGGGTACACTACCTATGCTAGTGTATTTTCAGTGAGATTTTTCAGATGATCATTTCTTTAAAACTGAAGTGTAATATAATAAAGACTCATGAAATCTGTAATGGATGTAGTCAGATGAATTAGTTCCTTCTTCCATGCAGCTCTATAATCTTTAACATGGTTTTATGTGATCTATTTTAAAGACTTGATGGGCATTTAAATTATTTCCCTTTTTTTCTTATTAACAACAATCCTACAATAAATAGCCCTATATTCATAACTCTGTGCATGTCTCAAGCATTTCTATAAGCTGGGTAAGTAGACAGGTGACTGAATGAGGAATATGGATGGCCAACATGACCCTCCAAAGTCTGTGCCAGCAGGCACTCTCGTCGTGTATGAGTGAATCTTAGGTTCTACAGCCTTAATCACGCTAGATATTATCAATCTTGCTAACATGTACCAATCTGAAAAATGAAAAACATTTTACTGTCCCAATTTATATCTCCCTGATTACTAATGAGACTGAGCACTTTTTAATCATTGTTGACATTTCTGTAGGTCTTCTGCAGAAAGTATGTTCATTGTCCTATATCCAATTTTCTATGGGGTTGTTTTGTGCTTATTAATTTCTAGGAGCTCTTGTGATCCTTTATTACAAATGTAAAGGATAAATTTTAGAAAATAATTAGTTTACTTTATGCGGTCTTTTGTAGTAAAAAAATAACTATTGTGTCTTCGTAAATTTAACAAATATTTGTGTTAATAAAAAAACTGATATAAATCCCTGCCTCTATGAAATTCACATTCTAATGTAGGAGGCAGATAATAAAGAAAATAAACAGGACATGTATAAAGTATACTGGAGGGTAAAATGTGCTCTGAAGAAAAATTAAGCAGGGAAGGGTTTTCAATTTTATTTTTTTTTATTTTTTTTATTTTTAAAATTTTTTTTTTCAACGTTTATTTATTTTTGGGACAGAGAGAGACAGAGCATGAACGGGGGAGGGGCAGAGAGAGAGGGAGACACAGAATCGGAAACAGGCTCCAGGCTCTGAGCCATCAGCCCAGAGCCCGACGCGGGGCTCGAACTCACGGACCGCAAGATCGTGACCTGGCTGAAGTCGGACGCTTAACCGACTGCGCCACCCAGGCGCCCCGGTTTTCAATTTTAAATAGGGTTAGAGAAGCTCTCACTGGGGTGACATTTGAGCAAGAACCTGAAGGAGGTAGAGGCATGAGCCATGTCCTATCTGGGGTAACCATGGCCCAGACAGAAAGAACAGCAAAGGCGAAAGCCCTGGGGTGGCAGCATGCCCACAGGCTGCCATATCAGCAAGGCAGAGTGGCTGGAGAGGAATAAGCAAAGGGGAACGGAGTAGGAATAAGGTTGAAAAAGGGTGCAGACCTCATAAAACCCTTAACTTGGTGAAAGGACTCTGGCTTTTACTTGAATGAGAAAGAGAGCCATTGGAGAATTCTGAGCAGAGGAGAGATGCTACTTAGAATTTAATGGCAGTATATTCTGGTTGTGAAGGGCTGAGAGAGGGACAAGTGTGGAAGCACAGAGCCCACTTGAGAGGCTACTGAAATAATCCAGGTACAAGATGATGGTGGCTTGAATGGGGGGAGGGAGACAGGCAGAGAAGTCTGAAGACTGGCCAAATTCTGGATCTCTTCTGAGTGCAGAGACAATAGAACTTGCTGATGGACTAAACATGGATGTGAGAGAAAGAAACATGTGAAGGATGCTTCTTCCCAGGTGTGTGTCCTGAGCAACTGGGCTAACGGAGTTGTCATTAACCACATTGGGGAAGAATAAAGGAAAAGCAGGCTGGGGGGATGGTCTGGGACACAGTCAATGTGAGAAGCCTTTCTAACATGCAAGTGGAGATGGATGTGGGGTAGGCAGCTGTATAGAAAAATCTAGAGAGTTCAGGGCAGAGGTCTTTGTGCAGATAAATGTAAGAGGCTGGATGAAGTCATTCAGGGACTGAACATAGAGGAAGAAGGATCCAAGGTTAAGGGGGATGAGGAGGTAGACCCTGCAAAAGGGACTGAGAAGTGGACACTGTTATTTCATACTTTTAAGTAGACAATTCATGTAACATCTGTTTTTCAGCCTGAAGTATTAAAAATAGATCACATAACATCCTTCTAAATGTTACAGAAAACTAGAGGACTACAGAGTAATTTTAAGAGAATCAAATTCTTTCTTCTAAAAGGATCCAACCCAAATTTTATGGCTTTTTGATGTATTATATTTTTAAAATTTATTTTGAAAGAGAGAATGAGTCAGGGAGGAGCAGAGAGAGAGAGAGTAAGAGAGACAGAATCCCAAGCAGGCTCTATGCTGTCAGAACCCATGAGATCATGACCTGAGCTGAAATCAAGCATTGGACACTTAACCGAGTCACCCAGGCATCCCTGTACTATATTTTAATTTTAAAGGAAAAACATGCAGCTGTAAAGACTCTAACAGTGATCTGTGATCTCATAAAGTCAACATCATGGGCTGGGCACACGGAATGACACATGAGGTTATACCACCTTCTGCTCACCCCTGTTCAAAACAGGGTGTGACCTGAATCATGCTTTCATTATCCACAGCAATATGGCAGGACCTTCTGCCTTCTGGAAGAATTGGTTCCACTGTAATCTTTCTTCTCTCTCACGAGTACTGTTGCACCAAATCTGTTTCAGAAAATGCACAGGCCCTTAAGATGTGGGTATTTCTGTCTTTGAGATGGCTGACAGAGTATGTATCTCATTCTTTTAATGTAATCTTGGGTTTAAAAATCAAAAATGCAGGCACTGGATGGCTCAGTTGGTTAAACACTTGATTCTTGATTTCAGTTCAGGTCATGATCTCATGGTTCGTGAGTTCAAGCCCTGCCCAGGGCTCTGTGCTAACAGCATGGAGCCTGCTGGAGATTCTCTGTCTCCCCCTCTGCCCTTCATAGAGCACACTTGCACACTCTCTCTCAAAAATAAAATATGTCTTAAAATTTATTTAAAAATAAGCAAACAAATAAATAAAAATCTAGAAGTGAGAGGTGCCTGGGTGGCTCAGTTGGTTGAGTATCCGACTCTTGATTTTGGCTCATGTCATGCCCTCAGGTTGTAGGATCGAGCCCCATGTCAGGCTCTGTGTTCATCATGAAGCCTGCTTAAGATTCTCTCCCTCTCTCTCTCTCTCTGCCCCCTCTCCACAACTCATGTTTTCTTTCTCTCGTAAATTAAAAAAAAAAAAATCTAAAAGGGATAGTATGGTAACTGTACTAGAATTAAAATTAAAAACCTAATTGAAGGGGGGCCTGTGTCCAACTCTTGATTTCAGCTCAGATCATGATCCCAGGGTCATAGGATCAAGCTCCAAGTTGGGCTCTGCACTGAGCGTGGAGCCCGTTTGCGATTCTCTCTCTTGAGATCTCTCTCTGTCTCTGTCTCTCCCTCCCTCTGCCTCTCTCCCCTGCTTCTGGGTGCTCTCTTTCTCTCTCAAATAAAAATTTAAAAAAATTTAATAAAAAAGTAAAAACTTAAAAAATACACATGAAATAAATTTTACCAAAAAAAAAAAAAAAATCTAAAAGAGATGAATCTCTCACTGTTATCTCCAGAGAATAAGATCAGAGATGGGGAATCCAAGAGGTAGAAGGGAAATTTACTTTGTGTTTCACCTCCTTCTGAATATTTGAATGTACTGCTTTTATAATTAAAGAAAATCAGAGAAGAAAAAGCAACAAGTCAATCTGCCTTTCAGGGGCAAATTTGCACACTGCTCCAGGCAATCCCAAACACAAATCAAAAACACAGTCTGGGGAAAGACGAGGTTGGCTGCATGTCTGTATATTGAGGAAACCATCAAAGCTAAACCAGTGTTTTATTTTATGAGGAATCAGCTCGGTCTCTTCTGTACTCACGTGTGAAAGTGTGCATGCACACGCACGCACGCACGCACACACACACACACACACCACCTTGTCCCTCTATTCAAACTGCTCCAACGGTCCTCCCAGTCCCACCAAACCCTATGTACCCCAGACATCAGCTGGCAGGCTATGTCCGACTTCAGCTCAGGTCATGATCTCATAGTCTGTGAGTTCAGGCCCCATGTCGAGCTCTGTGCTGAGAGCTCAGAGCCTAGAGCCTGCTTTGGATTCTGTGTCTCCTTCTCTCTCTGCCCCTTCCCCGCTCATGCGCGTGCTCTTTCTCTTTCTCTCAAAAATAAATAAACATTAAAAATAAACAAAAAAAAATTTTTTTAATAAAAAAACTTTAGGGGTACCTTGCTGGCTCAGTTGGTTAAGTGTCTGACTCTTGATCTCAGCTCAAGTCATGATCTCATGGTTCTTGAGTTCAAGCCCCGTGTGGGGCTCCACAATGAACATGGAGCCCACTTGGGAATCTTTCTCTCCCTCTCTCTCTGCCCCGCCCCTGCTCTCTTGCTCTCTCTCTCTCATAATAAATAAACTTAAAAAAAATAAACAAAAAATTTTTAAAACATCAATATAATACCATGACAGAGTTTGAAAAGTAGAATGAAAAAAATTGCTCATAATCCTTCACTATAGCACAATTTCTGTAATTTCTATATTTTCTACATAAATACATTAATTTTGCAGTTGAAAATCATGTATTGTGCAATTTTGCATGTTGCATTTTTTTACTTCTCATCATATGTTTTTTTCACACGAGATTCCTAACTACACTTAATGGCTGCAGAACATTCTATCAAGTGGATGGACCATAATTAACTAGTCTCTTACAGTTATTATTTCTGGTTTTCTACTGCTATAAATAACAAAGCAAAATCTCCTTTATGCATTTAGCTTTTTTCCTTCCAATGGATTATTTGGATAAAGTCCCAGATGCAAGATCACTGGGCCAAAAGTATTTTGATGGCTCTTAACACATCGTGCCAAGCTGCTATCCTGAAACACCACCCCAATAACACTCAGCTGTAACCCAGAACTCACTCTCTTCACAGCTCCTTCTCCAACACGCTTCAACTGCCTCACTTCGGTCCTCAGCTCCTCGCAGGACAGCCACGGTGAACAGTTTTTCATCTGTCCCATTCTGAAGTGTCCGTGGGGACAGTGAGCAGAGCTGGGAGCAGAGCGTGGACGGGAGATGAAAAACCAATCAAGGCAGAAGTAGAGGAGCGTGTTCATGAGGGCCATGGAGAAGAGCAGCCCCACAGCTGGGGGCACTGCTCTGTGGGGGGCACCTTTTCTGCTGTCCTGGGTTTTCTTTTCCATACTGTTATCACCTGTAATTTCCTGAATTATAAATGAAACAAGAAATAATACCAGTCAATTTTTACGTCCATTAAGGTGTTTGGGTGACAAGGGGTTAAGGACAACACAGCCTCTCATGCCTCTTATGCCCAAGGATCTTGCATGCTTTATCATCTTTGTTAGGATTAAAGAAGGTACAGAATGCTCAATGTCAGCTGTTTTCAAGATCACTGTCTTTTTATTACAAACTAACGTCTGGGTTCATCCACTCTAGATTCAACTAAAAGGAAGGTGTCTTTGTTTCTCCCACGGCAATTTGCACTAAATAGATATTTAATGAATAATTAGTAAAATGAGAGAAAACTGCTTTTGTTAGTCTAGCGGGGCCAGGGCAGAAGATGGACAAAGGAGAGGAGCCAGAGAGGAGATGGGGTAGGGGTAGGGGTAGGGGCTGGATGGTGAGGGTCTCCTGAACCCAGCTAAGGAGCTGGGATATTCCCTGGAAGGTGCTAGAAAGCTCCTTAAAATTTTTTTTAAGGATTTTTTTTTAATTAAAGTTTATTTATTTATGAGAGAGAGCGAGGGAGGGGCGGAGAGAGAGAGAATCCCAAGCAGGTTCCACGCTGTCAGTGCAGAGCCAGACACGGGGCTCAAACTCACAAACCATAAGATCATGACCTGAGCCAAAACCAAGAGTCGGATGCTTAAATGAGTGAGCCACCCAGGTGTCCCGCTCCCTAGCATCTTTAACAAGCAAGGTTAGGTGTGAAAGATGTGTTTGGGGTGGAACAGATGGAGGCTGGGAGACCAGGTAAAAGGCTCTGGCAGTGCCGCGGGGTAAGAGCTGATGAGCACACGAGCTGGAATGATGGTGGTGATCCTTGCACCAAGTAACTGCCAGGAAGGCTGGACACTCACCAGTTCAGCTCTAGCATCAGAGCCAGTGTGAGGCCCGCAGTGGAGCATTACTGCCTAGTTGTTGGATGGCAGAGGGGTTGGCAAGGGAGAGGGATGGAAGGACCCTGGACATCAGATGCTTGACACTCAAGAATGCTTGAGGCAGAAGCTGTTTCAGAATCAGAGCGGAAGCATGTCAGTACTCTGACACAGGAGATGGCCATAACAGTGTGCTCACTTAATATCAGTACTGGGAAAGGGGTACCTGGGTGGCTCAGTTGGTAGAGCGTCCAACTTCAGCTCAGGTCATGATCTCATGGTTTGTGAGCTCGGGCCCCATGTCAGGCTCTGTGTTGAGAGCTCAGAGCCTGGAGCCTGCTTTGGATTCTGTGTCTCCCTCCCTCTCTGCCCCTCCCCAGCTCACGTTCTATCTGTCTGTCTCTCTCTCTCTCTCTCTCAAAAATAAATAAACTTTAAAAAAAAATCAGTACTGGGATGCATGGGGAACACTAGTGACAGAATTGACTCTGTGCTTCCTATGTCTGAAATGACTGTGACATGAACAGTTACCTTCCACGGGCGTCTTCCTTCTCCCAGCTCAGTTTTCCACCCAGACACCTGGGTCACTCAGCGTTCTGGTTGGCCCCAGGCACTGGTTTGAAAATACTCTGTCACAAAGTACCAAAAAGGAGGTTTGCTGAATAAAAACTTCAACTCTGCACATAGACAAATGGCAATAATTCAAATGGTCCACCTTCTTCAGGGGCCCTCCTAGGGTCCAGGTATCCCTCAGGCCCTTGAACTCCAGGATGGAGTGGCAGCCGTGGGAAATCCTGCGACAGCCTGGCTTCCATCGTGAAGCCCTGCCAGCTGGTGTGAGCTCAGAGTCCTGCATCTGGTTCCAATAATCCACTCCCTCTACTCCATCACTAAATTCCAGCCCTCTCATTCACTCAACATGTATTAAGCCGTTTCCATAAGCTCAACTCTAGGCACTGGGGATCTGTGAGTAAATAAAACAGATGTGGTTCTTATCTTCTAGGACCTTAGAGGAAAGCCAGTGGAGAAGGCAGACAATAAACAAGTAAACAAAAAAGCTTCTCAGATATTGTGATAAGCTTTCAAGGACAGAGAATAACAGAAGAAATTCCCTGGATGATACTGGGCCAGAAGACCTCTCTGAGGATTCACACTGAGAACAGAAGCTTGAGAGGGGACAGCTCTCTCATACCTTCTCCTGGAGAAAGTAAAATCCACTTGCCATTCATAGAGCTGGGACACCAGACATGGATCAAGCCAACTGCAAAATTCACAGAAAGCAGCATTTCTCCTAAGGACACACTACAGGTATAAAGTATCAACAACTCCCTTCTTTGAATGAAGACTGCTTTCTTACTCACTGAGAAACTCTGCTCTCTAAAGTCACACACTATCAAAAATTTTGCCATCCAAAGTCCTACCAAGAACAGGGAAACATCCCACTCTTGCCTGGAGGAGCTAAGTCTCTCTGATACAGAGAAGCCACCTCTGCTTCCAACTGGGTGCAGAACTGCACATGAGCAGTTTCTGGAGAAGGCATTCAACATCTATGTGAACCCTGTGGTCTCCCAGGAACCAGACTCTGGGGTCCACTTTGCAGTCCGGACCAGATCTTGACATCTTTACAGGCAGCCCTGCTTAACTTTGAGTCCATCAAAACATTGTTTCCTTTCAATTTTGCCTAAACTCCACCCACCCCCAAATTCTAATTTTTTTTTTTTTACAGTTTTTAAAATTTATTTTTGATAGAGACAGAGCACAATTGGGGGAGGGACAGAGAGAGATGGAGACACAGAATCCGATGCAGGCTCCAGGCTCCGAGCTGTCAGGACAGAGCCTGACCCGGGGCTCGAACTCACAAACTGCGAGATCATGACCCGAGCCGAAGTCAGACGCTTAACTGACTGAGCCACCCAGGCGCCTCACCCCCAAAATTCTATAAAAATAACTCTCTTTTCCTGTGATTGAGATGCCATGTTCCACTGCTCCACAGTCACATCCACTGAAATGGGTCAATACACCTGACAAGTTCATTCCTATGGCCTCAGCCCTTTCTCTTCTTTCTCTTGACTGCTCAGTGGCATCTGGAATGGCTGATCACTCTCTCCTTCTTGAAATGCCTTTATTATTTGGTTCCCAGGAAGGTGCACTCTGGGGGCTCCTTTTGCCTCTGACTCTAAGCTGCTGTAGTGCTCAGGGCTCAGACAGACCTCTCCCTCAAGCTCTGTGACCTCATCCAGACTCTGGCTCTCTGTCCCCACCTGCTGACAGCTCCCAGTTGTAAAGCCCTAGTCCCAGCCTCCTCAGAACACCACCCTTGGCTCCTTGACATCACTTAAACATCTGACAGACAATGCAAAAATAATATTTCTTCTCAACAATAAAAAGATAAATGACTCAATTTAGAAACGGGCAAAGGACTCGAACAGACATTTATCCAAAGGAGATATCAGATGGCAAATAGGCACACAAAAGGATGCTCAACTGTAACAGTCCTCAGGAAAATGCAAGTCAAAACCACAATGAGACCCACCTCATATCCACTAGAATGGCTGTCATCAAAGAGACAAGAACGAGTGCAGAGGAGGCTGTGAGAAAATAGGAGCCCTCCTACAGTGATGGTGGCAATATAAAATGATGCAGCCACTGTGGAAAATAGTCTGGAAGTTCCTCGAAAGGTTAAACATAGAGTTCCCCATGCAAATCTGCTGCTCGGTATATGCCCAAGAGAACTGAAAACATACGTTTATGCCAACACTTGTAGGTGAATGTTCACAGCAGCATTATTCATAACAGCCAAACAGCGGAAATAACCCAAAGTCCCTCATGATAAATGGACAAAAAATCTGATATATCCAAACATGGAATAGGATTCACCCACAAAAAGAAATCAAGCACTAATACATGCTGCAACATGGATAAAACTGGAAAACTTTATCCTAAATGAAACATGCAGACACAAAAGATCACATATCATAGGATTCTACTGATATGAAATATCTAGAACAGGCACATCCATAGAGACAGAAAGTGGATTAGTGACTGCTAGGGGCTGAGTGAAAGAGGAAGGGGAATGGCTGCTAATGGGCACTGGATTACTTTTGTGGATGAAATGTTGTGGAATTAGTGGTGATGGTCGCAAAACCTTGTGAATATACTAAAAATCACTGAACCATACACTTTAAAAAGCAAACTTTAGGGGCGGTTGGGTGGTTCAGTCGATTAAGCGTCCAACTTTGGCTCAGGTCATGATCTCACAAGTCCATAGGTTCGAGCCCCACGTCAGGCTCTGTGCTGATGGCTCAGAGCCTGGAGTTGGCTTCAGATTCTGCATCTCCTTCTCTCTTTGCCCCTCCCCCCACTCATGCTCTCTCTTTCAAAAATAAAGATTTAAAAATAAAAATAAATTAATTAATTAAAAACAACTTATGGCATATGAATTATATTTCAACTTAAAAAGATAACAAAACGGGGCACCTGGATAGCTCAGTCGGTTAAGGGTCTGACTGCAGCTCATGATATTGAGCCCCACATCAGTTTCAGATCCTCTGTCTCCCTCTCTCTCTGCCCCTCCCCTGCTTGCACTCTCTCAAAAATAAACATTAAAAAAATAATAATTTATTAAAAAAAAAAAGATAACAGAAATACTTCCCAAACTCAATGTCTGCTCTTTCCCCACAAATCCGCTGTTTCTAGTGGTCAGAATCTCAGTAAATGACAACTTTATTCTTCCAGTGACCCAGCCCATGAGGCTGCATGTCAAGGGTCAGCACAGCAACACTGCTTCCTCTAAGCAAAAAATCTTAGAAGTAGGGGACTCTTCTACCACCCAGTGTAGTTCTTCCTAATTAATAATAATTTTTAAAAATGCTGCTTTGCATGTCCTGGTTGTCACTAAGAGGTGTCCAGTAAACACCGGCTCTACTGAATTGCTCCAGCCTCAAATCTCTTTCTTTTCTTGAAACAATGCCACCTGCTCAACCTGCCCTCAGTCTTTCCAGCTACACCCATCAGTGTTCTGATGGATGTTCGCTTACCTTTCTCATAAAGACTCCAGGCCCGCATCTTTCCCCCTGGCCCATCCC